AGGCCTCAAGGGGTCATGCATATTTCTGCTTCACCTCTTGTGCAGTTTTGATCACCATGAGAATATGTCCCAGGCAGAGGATGAGAAATGCAGAAAACCAAGCTGACTTTCCCCAGCTCAGCCTAGTTTAGACCAGGCAACCCTAGCTAAATCACAGATCTATGATAGTAAATGCATGCTCTTCTAAGTGAGGAGTGCTGGGATCATTCACAACATAGTATTATTCAATATATTGGCTTTAGTTCACCCAAATATGTCATTCAAAAATGTATATTGTATGTCTATGTTTGATGTCATGTTAGGCACCATGCTAGATGTTAGGGATGCATAAATAAACTAGAAAAGTATCACCCCTGCCCTTGCGAAACTTAAACTTTAAGTGAGGGAGAAAGACAAATGTTATTGATAGAGTTGAAAAGGGTATATTTGAGAGACAGGGGCTGCCTGGAGTCAGGCCTTAGCCTGAGATGATTGGCTGATTGCTCCTAGTGTTGGAAAGGGGAATTGCGTCTCTGAGGTGTTACTGATTTTTTCAAAACAATACACAGCAATTGGACATATTTATAGGGTACAATGTGATGCCTCAATACATGAAATGATAAGTAGGACTTACTATGTCCAGGATTTAAACTCTGGAAAAACCTTCTTCAGAGTTCATTTCAGGTAAGTTCTTATTTGCAGTTAGGGAAACTGAGGCTCAGAGAAAAGAAATTACTTTCCCAAGGTGAATCAATGAATTTGTGGCAGATCTAGGACATGAACTCAGAGCCTCAGCTCCTAAGGCTGGCACATCTCATTCTACGTGACCTCAAACAAGCCTTATTTAGACAATTTACAGTGTCAGAAATTTTGAACTGCCATAATATTCTTGGCCAGTTGTATAACGAGTTCCATTTAAGATAAAATTAATCTCTATAATTATTATAATTCACAATTGTAGCATGTCTCTTTCTTGCTCAGGTCATTTAAAATGTGATAATAATCAGTCCTCATAATTAATAATAGTAATTAATAACTTTCACTTACTGAGCCTATGCTCCAAGCTTAGTGCTTTTCGCTCTAGGTATGTGGGCATGTTGAATCCCCACCACAATCTAGGCACAGATAGTAATGCCCATTGTATAGATTTGGAAAGCACATCTCAGGGAGATAAAGTCTTTAGCCAAAGTTATGGCACCAACGAGTGGCAGAGCCAGGAATCAGACACAGATCAAAGGCCTGTGGTCCTCCCACCTTGCTCTACAGATCCAACTGTGGGAGTATCCTCCTGAAGTGTCTGATTCAGAAATGGTATTCCCAGTCCATCTTTCTCAACTTCCTCCCTCTGCTTGGGGAAGGCGTGGTTGGAGCCCACTGCAATGTGATGAAACTAACGCCCCACTTGGATCTTGCATCACTCTTTACACCATTTACCAAAGGATGCCTCTAGAGCAGGAAGCTTTGAGAAGACCTGGGGAGCCTGGAACTTCTAAGTCTAAACAAGGAACTGACTCAGCAGGGTCTGGCTATCTTCAGAGTCTGAGGAGAGGCGCATCAAAGGAATGACAGCCTGGTACCTTTGATGAGGGAACCGACAGGAAATTAACAGCTTTGTGCAGTCAAGGACAAAGACAAGAAAAGGCCCATTTGGGCCTCATATCTGTCTGGATTGGAACCCACAGGAAGCAGAAGGGGCTGTTTAATCCTGACTCCAGAGCAACTCTTGAAGGCTGGCTTCCTCCCTTGAAGAAGAACAAGGTGAAGGAAAGGTGAGGCAAGTTAAGATAAACACCCAAACTTTTGGCTGGCTGGCTGAACTGAATCTGTAATTTAAGCTGTCAGTGGGTTCCTTTTTTTTTTTTTTTTTTTTCCCTATTCTTTTCCTTTTTAAAATCTAAACTGTAATCACGCAATACTCCACCCAAGTGCTTGATAAGGATTTCTAAGACAGATCCTAACATAGTCATAAAAAAAAAAAAAAAGAATACCCTCTGAAGTGTGCACTTTGTACTGTGTCTATGAGTAGGTGTGTTTAAAATGTCACGAACTGGAATGCCTAACTCTAGCTCCCAGGAATTAATCACTTAGAAGAGTGAAAGGGGGGAATTAACTTTCTTTAAAACTTATAAGGTTCTCCAAAGCAGCAGCTAAAATAGAACTTGCTGAATAGAAATATGGTTATCTTTCCATAAGAACTAGAAATATTTTTTAACATATTTTTCTCTGAAACTGCTTTGCCAAGTTTCCCCTTGCGGATTAGCTGCAGGTCACAGATATTCTGGGAATAAAGATATGAAAGGATTTTTTTTCTTTCTTGGTTACAATTCAGTGATTTTAGTAAATTTATGGATTTGTGCAATCATCACAACTATCTAGTTTTAGAGCATTTTGATTGCCCAACAGAATTCCCTCAAGTCCTATTTGCAGTCAATTCCTGTTCAAATCCTTAGCCCCGGGCGACCACTGCTTTCTGTTTCTATAAATTTGCCTTTTCATTTCACATAAATGGCCATTTCATATAAATGAAGATCATACAATATGTTGTTTTTCATTTGGCTTTTAGCATATGTTTCTGAAGTTCATTCATGATGTAACAAAATCAGTATTTCTTCTCCATTTATTGCTGAACAATATTCCATGGTATGGATACACCCTGTTTTGTTTATCTACTCACCAGTTGATGGGTATTTGTATTGTTTCCAGATTTGGGCTATTATAAATAATGCTGCTATGAACATTCTGGTGTGTGTTTTAGTGTAGACATGTTTCCTGTTCTCTTGAGTAGAATCCTAGGCATAGACTTGCTGGGTTGTGCAAAGGATTATTGACTGCTCCTATACACCAGGTTCCATCTGATTCAGGTGTGTAGTGTCAGTGGAAACTTATCAAGCAATTTTTAACTTACTTTAAAAAATCGGCTGATGCACCCATTACTAAAGGGATGGTCTATAAAAACAGCTGCTGTGATTCGATAAATTCTGAACAGAGGGGAGAGGTCAAAGTCCAGCTAATGTCAGCTGACATGTGGCCAGGTTCATCTTTGGACACGCTTCCAAAAGGGAGTTTATGAAACTTGCTTCATGGGTCAAGAGATGTCCTAATCGTCACAGATCCTGGGCGTCTTTGTATAATATATGTATAATCAGATTGACCGTGGCTTCACACTCCGTCTAGGACCACGTGGAAGGGTTGAGAAAATCCAGGCAATAGTTTGTAGCCAAACAAGAGCAAAACTCGAGTATCTCTGAGGGAATGCCGGACCCCTTTTCCCTCCTCTCCTGTGTAAGTAACTTCATTTATAATCTGAAATGGCGCCATCAGAGCATCCCATTACCATCATCATGCCTCATTAGAGTGGGGACTTTCGGCGGTGATTTGGGAAGTACCCAAAGTTTTAGGGGTTACAGCAAAGGCCAACAAGGCAGACCGAGGAAGCCGGGTAGAGCTCTGAAAAGGTTCAGGGCCAGGGATCCACAGCGGGAGGAGGTAGTGGCAGGCACCGGGATCCGCTCACTGGCGCTCTACAGGAAAGCACTCAGCGTCAATGGCCTCGCGTGTCCCTTGCGCAGAGAGTGTGGTGCAAAGTTGGGGAGTTACTGGGGACCCAGGGGGCTATCACCTTGGACACCTATGGTAGGGGGAAGGCTGAGGAATGAGGGAACTGGACAGCAGGAAACTTACAGCTCTTACCCCGCAGAGGAGGAACGAGCAGTTTAAAGGCCACGTCCACACAGAGGGTGTCAGAGGCATCCTCCCCGCGCAGGACGCGAACTGGGGGCAGGCACGCAGCGCCACCCGGATCCTGGAGTCGCCAAGAAGAACGCGGGCGGGCGGGCCGAGGAGGGGCAGCCTCGCCGGCACCCGCCCCCGCGGGCGTCTCCCCAAGCCGCGTGGAAACCCGGGAGGCTGCGGGCGCTCGGGGACCCGCGGGCTGGTGACCAGGAGCTGGAGGGCGGGGTTCAGCCGTCTCCGCCTTCGCCCAGCATTGGGGTTCCTTCCCCATGCGCTCAGGATCCCAAGCTTTCTCTTCCGTTTTTGGCCTCTTTTTCCGTTAACTCCTGGGCCGTCTCCTCCCTTCTAGCCCTTTCCAACTGCTTGGCTGTGGCGCCCAGCTTTCCCTCCGCAGCCTCCTTCCGTGTCTTTTTCGCGGGTCCATCTCTTCTTCTTCTTCTTTCCCAACCGCATCCCCGTCCCCCCAGGTTGTTCCTTTTTAGCCTTCACCCACTGGCGTCTCCACCTTCCTCCGCCTCCTCTCTTGCCTCCTCCTCCCACCCTGCAAACTTGTTCAAGCCAGGGGTCCCTACACAGACAGGGTTGTTCCCTGCTGGGTGTGCGGGTCCCCACGCCTTCCCGGTACCACGAGCGCCCCGCCCAGTCCCTGGCGTGATTCCTAAGCCCTGACCCTGCCAGCCCTTTCTCCCAGCGACTCGGGGAGGGAGGGCAGGAAGCAGGCCCGGGGCTCCCTCCTGGTAGCGAGTCCTCAGTGAGGGGAACACGGGAGGAAGGAGCCAGGACTCCGGCGCCTCGCCCCATTAGGCCCTCCCTCCCGCAGAAGCGCTCACTCCTCCGGGCCCTGGCGGGTCTGCAGAGAGGGGGTGGCAACAAGTGACACTACCGGCGGGGCCCACTGATACCTGGCTGGGGTAGGGGCCAAGGCACCCTTCCAAAGGGCGGAGCGAGGCCGACCCCCGCGAAGCGCTCCCCGCGCACCCCTCTCCGAGGCGTTGCGGGGGGGGCACTGAAGGAGAGGAGAACTGAGAGAGAACGCAGACTGGGCTCTTCCCAAGTCCTAAGTCTCCTTCCCCGCCCGACTTCACCACCAGAGCCACCAGAAGAGTTTGCAAGGGATGGGAGATTGAGGGGGCTGGGGGCTGGGGGCTGGGGGCTGGGCTGGAGCCGCCAACGTTGAGGGATTTTTGGAAGGTGGGGTGGCGGAGTGAGAAAGAATAGAACGCACTCCCGAATTCCCGATTGCTTCCCTCACTTGGACGATACCTTCCCCCAACCACCATCCCGGCCCGCCAGGCAAGAGCCCAGCCTGGCCAGCTGGAGCGGATTTGGGGGATGGAGGAAAAAGGGGGCTCCCAACCCCTCTCCAGCTTCCCTCCGCCGCCCTCCCTGATTGGCTGTGCGTCCCTGGAGCCCAACTTCAGTCGCTCCAGACTCCATCTGAGCCCTGAGGGAGTCGGAGCGCCGCGCCTCGGGGCGGGAGGGGCGGCCACGAATCCAGGGGTTGGCATCTCTGGGCCCCTGGGGGGAGGGGCGCGGACGGGGTCGGCCCCCGCAGCCTCTGCGAGGCCCATCTCGCTGCGTCTCTCAGCCTCTGCTTCTCTCAGCCCCCGCCCTTTCCTTCCCTCCCAGCGGCAGCCTCCCTCCTCCCGCCCCCCCGCCAACCCCCCGCCCGCCCGCCCGCCCGCCACCTCCCCCCGGTTTCTCATTCCTGCCACTAGCGCGCTCGGCGGCTCATTCCGCGGCCGCCGCCAGCCGAGGGGAGCGTCGCGGGCCGAGGAACAGATGCCGCGGGGGCCGCTCGCAGCCGCCGCTGACTTGTGAATGGGACCGGGACTGGGGCCGGGGCTAACACCGCAGCGCTTGCCCTGCGCCAGGGACGGGCGGCCCGGAGGTTGCGTCCACCCGCTAGGGCCCCAGGTGAGGCGCGCCGCCAGTCCCTTCCTCTCGCCTGGTTGGGGCTTCTTGGAGTGGGGGGCAGGATTTTCTCTGGAAGAGAATGCCTTGGCGGGGCGGGGTGGTGGGGGAGACGGTGGTATCCGAGTCGAGGTTTCACTAATGCAAAGCAAAAGGGAGGGAGAGATTTGTTTAAAAATCAGAAAGGGAGAAGGGAGCCAGCTGTGGGCGCGGGCAATGCAGGGGACGGGGGCTCCAGATGTGCGCTCCACGACTCTCCCGGGCTCCGGCCTCCTCTGGGGTCTGCGCCGAGGCCGCGGCAGAGGGGGTTTTTACCTGGCTGGGGCAAGAAGCTGCAGAGCAGAGCGCCGGACACGCCGACTGCCCCCGGTCATGTCTCTGGAGAAAGTCGCCCACGGCGCGGTGCCCGTCAGCCCTGCGCCGCTTCCCCAAAGCGGCGACATGACCGCGCTCTGCGGGGTTCTTACTCCATCCTGCCGGATCCCTGCCTCAAGCTCCCCGGGGCTCAGTCCCTCCAGTCGAGACTGCCGGGGAAGCCCGGGAAAACGGAAGGACCCTAGCTCCGGAAGGCGATTGCCCGCACTTTAATAGCGTGGGTTTGGGGCCGCCGACTGCGGTTCTGGGGTAGGCAGCTGCCGTGCGCTACAGCCCTCCAGCCCGAGTCTGTGTGGGAGCTGCGGCGCCCGTTTGTAAGCTCCCACCAGCTCAGGGGTAGGTCCAGGAGCGGCCCAGACTCGGGTTCGCCTCTGGCTTGGGATTGGCGAAAGCTGCCGGGGTCAACGTTAACTTTGAGAACCAAACCTTCCCGAAACCTGCGCCGCCTCTCGGAGCGCGCCAAGCCTCTCCAGCTCCCGGCACGCACGGCCTCCCTCCCTGCGCTCTGCCCCCGGAACGCTAGCCGGGAGGTGGGAAGCACTGAGAAGCCGGCCGGATGGGGAGGGCGGCAAGGAGAGCTCCCTTCTCCGCACCCATCACCCCCGCCCCCCACCAACACAGAGGAACTGTAGGAGGGCCCGCCTCACGCTGTGAAGCGGAGTCCCCAGAGAAAGTGGGGTCGGGGGAGGCTTGCGGGTCCGGCTTCCTTGTCCGTTTTTTGCCGAGGGCCTACTTTCGCCGGGGGCTCCCCGCGCCTGCCTCTCCCGGGTGAAAGGTTTTCTAGGTGCTAGAAGAAGCCCTGTTGCTTTTGCTGACAATGCAATAGGAATTTCATGGGCCATCACACTGCTATTAAGAAATTGCATCTTTTAATTATTTAATACCATCCCTGCATGACGACCGGCCATCCCTAAGGGATGGGAATGGGGGATTGTTCTTGAAACCCTGCTGTATGAGGGTATAGATTTCCCTAAAGTCTTCCCTTCGTCTCCCCCTAAAGAAATCTTGTTACGATCGCTCTGAAATCTTTTATTATTTTCATCTTCTAATCATGGCTTTCGGTTTAATATGAGGCAGTAAGTTTTCGTTTTAATCACAGGGAAGCTACCGTAATTAATCTGGCGAGAGGACGGATCAATTTCCTTATCACTTGGGCTTGCAGCAGACATCGATGGTTTTGCGGGGTGTCTGGATTTCCTGGGGATGGGGATGCAGATGTGTTCTCAGGAGCGAGGATCCTTTAGCATCGCATCAGCACATTTGCCAGGCTGGGCTCTGAGCGCTAGAGCCTAATATGTTGGCAGAGGAGAAGAGAAGGGACTGACCTTCTTTTCGTTAATTCTGGAATTGTTTTTCCTACAAATACGTAGGTGCAGACACCAAAACAGAAATATTAACTGCCCAACCCTAGCTGCAGGGAGCCTAGTCTTCTTCCAATAGGACAAAGGAAAAAAAGTTACAAAACAAAGGGACAGAGTTGTGGCCAATACGAGGCACTCTGAGGCTCCAGCCACTAAAGTTCCTTAAATGCAATCTCTGATTTCAAGTTTTAGAGTTGGTCAGTGGGCTCTGGAATTCGAACCTCTATGTGAAACTGAAATCCAGCCTAGTACAAAAGGAATGTGAGTGCTTTTCAGTAGAGACCAGGGAAAGGCATCTTTGCTTGGGTAAGAATTATCTTTACATCTTACTTTTGAGACACTGTAAATTAAGACATTAAAATGTCTTGCAGGCATGCACTATTATTAATAAAAATTATTACTATCATTTTAGTTGTTACTTCAGAGTCTGCATAAACTGGGCATTTTATGACATTGTTTGAAAGAACAAACCACCTTCCTCAGCCCTGGGAAAGGGGGAATGAAGGCAGGCCTTGGACAACGGATTGAGACTGGATAATCTGGCGAGGCCCAGACATGTAGATTTATTCAAATGGCTGCTTATTGCTTCCTAGGAAAATAAGCTTTTAAAATAGTTCTCACTGAAGCAGTGGACCATCTTGATAGCACTTCAGAACTTTCATTACGTTCAGCGTTCTTATCAGAACACCAGACAGCAAAATTACTAGAAACCTAAATTCTATTTTCAATTAAGATGCAATCTTTTGTTAATTTGAAAATAAAAAAAAAATAGTTACGGCGCAATTTTTTTATGCCTTAGAACTCAAGTTTCCTCTGTAGAGTGGTGGCTGTGGATGTGCATGTTTGTGTATTTGTGGGAGGAGGGGGCAGGGGACAGACTTGGAGAGCCACGCCGTGATTTGGGGGAATAAGGATCAATTTCATGCTCTTTTAATGCAGTTGTCTTCATAATTCATGGTTTTTCTTCCCCTTTGAATAGAATTACATGGCTGCTTTGTAAAGATTCTGGTTTGGGGGCCCTCATATGGGAAACGCCATGACATTGACCTCGTAGTCTGATTTACAATGCCAGTACTGCACTCCCAGGAGCATAGCGTGTCCTGGAACCTTGCCTGTGAATTCCTGTGACTTATGAAGTGGTAACTTATGAAGTTGGTAAACGTTGATCTGTTATATTCAGATCTGTTTTTCAGAACCATCTAAACAAGATCTTCGAATCTGATTTTAGTCTTCCTTCATTCTCAATACATTTATGTAGGTAGATGTTCAAGAAACATAACAATTTCATTGGAATTTACTTTCGGTATTGATGTTTTCACTTTGATCACAGGCATACTTAATCATTCAATAATAATAAAACAGTGGAATATAGAAAGTTTGAAAGTAGGTATCAAACTTTTTTTCTTGAATTGTCAAATTTGAAGAATGACTATGAACTTCCAAGTTTTTTCCTAGAAAATTTTGAGCACTGTGTAAATTCACTAGTCCATGATTTAAGGGACTGAAATGTGTTTGGGATGATTTTCTCCCTTATGGAATTGGCTGCTGTTTCATAAAAAGTTACCTAATTTGTCAAGAATCCCTATTCTGCACTTACCAAGAATTGTGAGTTTTCAGCCTTTTTAATTTAAAGTTATTAACTCTGAAATATATAAAAATAGTTGGTCTATATGAATTTGTGATTTAATTGATTAGGGGAAAAACATCAACAGGTCTGCTAAAGAAAAAGAAAAAGAACGCTGGAGAAAATTGGACACATCCTGGTGCACCAGTAGGAGTTAAGAATGAGCTGTTCCATCAGGATTCCTGTGATAGCCATCCGCAGCCTCCCCTATGAGCAGGAAGGACTAAAGAAAACACTCGAGGAGCATAATTAGACATGTTTCTGCTATAATTTTACCCTGACATTGAGAGCCTTGTACATCTCTGGAAATGGACTCCTTCGCGGAAGATTGCACTTCTGGCCACTAGAGGGCAATGGCACCCTTCTCCAACTTTCTGCATGGAGCCCATCTGCTTTTGAGGGCATCATGAAAAGCGGTTTTGTTACTTACCAGCCTTGTCTGGCCCTCACAGGAGAGACCGAATTCAATCTAGCTGTGGTTCAAGCTACTGCTCGAGCAGTTTGTCAGGATTAGCATCTTTCTAGTGGGTGGATCCTGTTACCTTCAGCCTCTACTTCCCACTTTGGAGTTTACTAGAAAGTTGGGAAATCTTGTAACTTGACATTGAGCAGCAGCCAGGGTGGGGGCTGGGCTGCAGGATAAACAAGGTCAGTTCTCACTGAGACAGTGATCTGGGAGGATTTTCTGGATTTTTTTCTGGCAAAAAGAGCATCATTTCTGACTCCAAGTGGAAGGGGATGGATAAAGAAGAAAAATATCAGTGAGACTACTGTGATACCATTGCCCGTTCTTACATGAGGTTTTGACGATGTCTGCAAGACACTTCTCATTTGCAAAAAGGAATAGCAGTTTGATCTTCGGTAAACACTTAGGGGCATGGAGTTTTAATATAGCAGTAAATGTTTTCCTATTTCCTTTAAACTATTCTTGATACTGCTGTGAAAACCTAACTTTAGCAGAGAGTAAAATTTAATTCAAGATTGTTCTTCGTGCACTGGAGTATAATCATTTGATTTTTTTTTTCTCCTCAGTGATATGGAAATTATGACTTATGATTAAATTGTGTATTTCAGGCTACACAGATTTATATTTGCTCCTGTTTGATGTGTCATGAAAGTTCAGGAGGAGGAGAATGCAAAAAAAAACTAATGCTATATTATGATTAAGAGGAAAACTCTATTAAAAAAATAAGTACTGTTTTAAGTGGATACTTAATTGTGTTTTTTGTCTTAAGTGAGTACAGTTGCCTCCCTGGTGATTCAGCAGTGGAGTTCTTTGCAGCTCTGAGCTGTGTTGGAATGCATAGACAGTTGATGAAGAAGGAATCAATGCAAATGGATTATGGTAGGGAGTATTAAGTAACTCAGTGGAAAGTAAGACAAAGTGTTTTGTAAACCGACGTTCACTTATCACTGGACAGTTTATTTAACTTAAAAAAGGACAATTTTAAATTCTAAGCTCTTGTGAATAATGCACATTGTTAGAACTGGAGGCAAAATTTCATTGTTATTTGATTTAATTAGTCATGGGACAGTTGCAGAGTTCAGGGATTCTTATTGAGACAAAGCATTTCTCTCACAGTCTGTGTGGTCGAGGTTTCTGCTCAATCAGAAAATCTGGTACATCAGGAAATTAGGTGAGA